CCCCCCCTTCTGGTGTTACTGCTTACTCTGACTGCAATATGAAACAAATGTTTCTTTCTTTCCTGTGGGTAAAGTAGTTTTTCAATTCAATCAGTTTTATATATGCTGCTTGTGTTTTTTCACAGATTTTTTTTTCACATTGACAATAAATTTTGGATTTCCTGTCACTTGTGGTGTACACCTCAATGCACATACTCATAGGGTTAGGAAAGCTCAGTAAATTAACCTGTTACAGATTCCCCCCCCGCCATGTTGCCTGCCTGGCCTCAAATTCCAGAGTCTTGTCTCTTCCCCGATTTGCCTGTTGGCTTTGCCTTGTCGTTCTCTAGCACAACGAAAACGTACAAACCTTTAAGTTTTTTGTTTGATTTGTTTTGTTTGTCAAATTATCTGCTGGTCTTTGAATATGCTTTTGTTTTAATTAGTGGAGCAGAACGCATGTAGCTGAGGCAGATAGTTTGGAATTGGCTTTTCATGCTCCCATCTGTCAGGGGTGCCTCATCATAGTTTCCCTTTCTGTCAACTGAAGGAAAAAAAAAAAGCTGTTGAATGTTCTCTGGTGAGACACTTGAATCTACTTTCTGTGTTTATTTAGCTGACTTCCTAATATATTCTGGTATTTTTTCCTGTCACTTCTGAGGATTACCTTGACAGGAAGCTTTCTAATAGTTCTGAATTTGTTGAAATACGCAGGAACATCTTTTATTTTGATGTTTACTCTTTCCTTCCTCCAGAATGATAGGCTTGTTTCATGATTGGCTTCCATACATGTTTTTGGTCTTAACCAGATTCATCCTAGTAATCATGGTTGACTTAAAGCCATTCCTGTAACTTACGTAAACTATTGCAAGAACTTGGTGGACTGTTTCCTACTGTGCTGCTTTTCCAAAAGATACTTAATTCTTACCAAAACATTGTTCCTTTTATTCTTGATCAGGTAGCTTTTGTTGTAGCTCTTGTGGCATAGCTCCAGTGCTTTCCCCTTTGATTCTTCTTTAGCTTTTTATTAACAATATTTTTAATCTAGTGGTTTTATTCCACAAATCCTCTGTCGTCATAACTGGCTGTGTAAAAACTCTTAATTGTTCGTTCATCCTCTGTCCTGGCATTTGCATAGTGACAGCCCAGGTATTTGATAAGCTTGTCCTGTTATTTGTCGTTTGGTCCCTGTGACCTAATTACAATGCCTCCTCGCCCTCCCTACCTCTGCATACACACACACGCCCTTCTGATGGTAGCTTTTTGTGACCAGGTCACTCTTTTGTGCCATCTTCTGTTTACACATCTTTGCATCCTTTATTCCTATCCAAGAGGCTCCAACTTGATGAATGAACGCTCAGGGATACTTCTTCCCTTCATCACATCAACTTGGTGTTTGGGGAAGCCGGAGTCCATCTGCCCATACCATCTGTGTGCGTTACCAGCCATGTGTACAATCCGCTAGTCTTTTTGTAGAAATACTTGACGTTTTAGGGCTCATTTATTTGGATTTCTCAACTGTTAGTCATAAAAACAAAGCACAATGTCCTCCCTGCATCATAGCAGGAGCTAAGGTCTCTTCTAAAAAGGCTTTGGTTGTGTTTTGAGGCATCTCCAGGAAATAAGTCACTGACACCTGAGCACAGGTCTGCTGTTGACAATGGAGCAAGGGTTTTCTTTCCTGCTTGGTGACCTATTACCAGGCACTGTGCCATGAATTGGCAAGACCTGCTTTTGCTTGCCCTCCCTCCTCCTCTGCTGCCTCAGCTAATTTAAATCCAAGCTATTCAAGGCAGGGACTTTGCTTTCAAACATGCTCAGTATCACATGCGTTCTGTAAACTATAAACAATAATTTCCTCTGACTCACTCGGTTGTCGGCTGATGACTGACCACAGGTAATTTGTTACAAAAATCTCATCCAGAGTAGCTGCCTTCTACTACTGCTCTGTCAATGTCTTGGCAATAACGAGTCAGCTAGGTGAGAGACTGAGAAAGCTGCTATAAATATTACCTGATATTACGTATGATATTATTAATATCATACAGGAAATATAGTGGCAAATGAGGACTGCTACTTAACAGCTGTGACATGGGCTCTGGAAGAGTCAAGTAAATTGTTTGCCCAATAGAAAGCTAGGAAAAAAAGAAAACTCAAACTACGTGAATTCAAATGATCATTCTTCCTTCCTCCTCTCCTTGAAGGCTGGAGCATAGGCTGTAGATGGGAGGCTCTAACCTATCATGGCCTTATTTTTAGGTAAGAAAGAATTTAGAAAATCTGGAAAAGTAGATGACTACAGTTTTCAAATATGTCATTTAAAATGCCAGTTGAAATGCTCATGCTCTTGCCTGACTAAGCCTGAGCTCACTTAGAGTTTTAATGACATTTTAATGAATTAATCACAGCCATGAATTGCTCTGTACACAACCAAACAGTGAAGCAATTACTGTTTTTTAAACCTTTACACCTGCTCTACTTTTGGTGTGGTCTTGTCTATTTGTGTCCACCCTTGCTCTGTCTCTATAATTTAAAAATGTTTTTTTAGTTTGTTTTTTACCTGCCTGAAAACCTCGTGCCCATGATGCACGTGTCCACTGCCAGTACGGAAACGAGCCGGTTTGCCTGCCTGACAGCAAAGCTCATGCAGCTGCAGCACAGCAATAGTTCCCAGGGGAGCCACAGGGCTTGCTGAAGAGAGCCTACAATCTTCCCTCCACCCCTCATCATCACTGTTCCTTCACCAGCTTCAGGACAGGGAAGGGATGCCCGTATAAATAGATGCTGTCATTGCCTAAATGCATGCAGAGGGCTGTGATGCTCATGCGTAGCCATATAGGCAAATGCTGGTTACAAACACCTCAAAAAAGGTGCATG